AAAATATATATATATATATATATATATATATATATATATATATGCATATTTAGGACATTTTTACACATTGAAGGTCATGTGTGCAAATGAAGACGCGGTCTGTGTGTAAATATGGATTTTTATGTTCCTGACCTGATATATGTCTCCAGGACAGCAGGTATCCAGATGCTCCAGTTACACTGGTCCAGTTCAGTACAGTGCTGTTGCCAGTGGTGTTCAGAGCACTGAATCCAGTCACCTTGGGCAGATCCACTGTAACACAACAGCAACATTCTTCTTCAAGATACTTTCATTTAAATAATAATTGCTGTACATCTGCATGAAAACAAACAGGTTGAAGTGACTCACATGTGCGAGCGGTCACCATTACTGGACTTCCCTCTTTGCTTCTGACCACTGCAGACACCTGGATCTTGTATGCAGTACTGGCAGGCAGATCAGTGATGGTGAAGGACGTGGCAGAAGAAGATACAACCTCGCTTTTCTTTTCTCCACCTAAGAGAACAGACAGAACAGCAGAGTAAAGATGATGGATTGTAATTGTAATGGAGTGTAATGGGGACTGCTGGTACCCACCATGGAAAGGGTTCCAAGCGATCTTGTACCCAGTGACCCCTGGTGTTTTCTTCCAGGCCAGTTTGAAAGAGTTGGCACCAATGTCCACAACTTTTACCTCCCGAACAGTCTCAATCAGCTCAGAGTCTGTCAAAGAGGCTACAAATGCATGGCAAAATAATTAGTGACAACAGGTTTGATCAAATTAATTTAAATATATTTATTCTTCCTTTTTTTAAATTTTAATTCAAATTTCAAATGATTTCAAATAAATTTTTAGTTTAAAATTTTAATTTATTTCTTCAAAAATGTTTATTTAATATTTTTTAAGATCATGACTCTTGAGGGATTATAGTCCAACATGTAAGACATGTTCAAGTCAAAATGGGTTAAATAAATAATCTTACGGTATTAAATATACATAGGTAATGTTATTTGATATTTATAGTTTATATATAGTGTTTGTTTAAGTGCAGTGTAGCCGCTTTCTGCTTTTCACAGTGCTGCCTGTGAAACTGTGAAGATGTGCTGATAACAGTGAAGCTGACAGCAGAGAAACAGACACACATACACACACACTGAGCTTCAGTAAAAATACTGCTCTATACAGCTGTGGTTGCTAAAGATGGCGGCTCAAACACAGGAGCTGTCAATCAATCTCATGATATCCCTCAATCCCATTGGAACAATGGGAGGAACATCTCCATATCCCCGGACCCTGACTGTCTGAAGTGCCTAATTAACTGAGCAGAGTTTTCTTCTTATGGCTCTGATAAATTAAATGTGCCTGTCGACCAGTTGTCATTGCAAGAAGACACAGAGCCAAACAGAGCAGTCCAACCAGACTAAAAAGAGTCAAGATTTGTTGGTACAGCTTTCCTACAGAGTAAAATAATGCGGAAGACTTAATATAACACAGACAATACTAAAAGGAGCAGTATATAGTTAAAATCCTAAGAGTACTAGTATGACGAGGCCGTAACTGTGAAAAGGTGAAATCAGCAAAAGTAAAGCAAAAATAAGAGGAATATTGTAAGATCCGGTTTTCGGGTTTGGGTGTGTTTATTACCACAAAAACAACTCTAACTAGACCTTTGTTTTCATAAAAAATGGTTATGGTAAAGCACTTCCAGTAGAAGTGATTAGGACCATTTTTTTTGGATAATTTAAAGCAGAAATGTGAATTTTATAATTTTATAAAAGCATACTAATTCTTCTGTTAAAACTTGTGTATTCAGACGTAAAGCTGTTTACGGGTTTAAGGTTTACGGAGTTACATTGTCATGGCAAGAAAGACGTCAAATTGGATATAACTTTATACATAAAAGATTAGTGAGTTACTTTTTTCACACTAAAATCATGTTAACACATATTGTTTATGTCTATACTGAAGCTGTGAGTATTCTAACGTTAAGAAAATTGGCCCCATTGTAAGTGATTCATTTTAACCCAGATTTACATAAATATACATTTTTGTAGTAATCAACATTATGACACAAATGCCATTAATAGAGATTAATTTACACTAAACTCACAATATTACATTAAATGGGTGTCTTGAGACAGGAGGACAGTTAACAAACCGAGAAACAATACAAAAAAAAATACTGTAGCTTATACTTATACTAATACTGTTCTTTTTCTGTGAATCTGTGAATAAGTTCAGTGTTGTGAACAGTACCTGTTTGCTGTGAGAGAGTGATTTCTGGTCCTTCTGTGTTGCTGTAGAGAGCGTGAATGCTGACAGAATAAAGGGTTTGTGGCTGAAGACCAGTGATGCTGTGCTGTAAAATGCTGCGGTCAAGATACCGACTCTGAGGACTCACAAATTCTAAATAAATACTTTTATAAAAATTCAATTTTTATAAAAAATTATTTTTTATAAAAATAGATATATGTATATTAATTTAACATTTCATACATATACATATCAAAATTGTACATTTATATTTAAAATATAATTTCATAATAAATAATAATAAATCTTACTTTCGTGTTTCAAGACTTTTTTTAAATACTGAACATCTAACGTCTAATTAGTCTTTCTTGCCCTTCGTTTCTTTCCCATTCTCCATAAACTCAGCCTCAGACTCTCTTTATGTATGTGTCAGAGCGTGTGGTAAATGCTGCGGTCAAGATACCGACTCTGAGGACTCACAAATTCTGGGAGAGAACATACAACACAAATGATGCAAATGTTATGTTTTGGAGTATATCATAGTTTTATGGGCCTTATTAAAACTGACTGGATAGATTAATTTCAAATTTAGTATTTTATCATTTTGTAGGTTTAAAAAAAAGTACCAACAGTTTTTACCTGAACTCCAGGTGAGTTTGTACTCTGTGGCCCCTACAATAGGACTCCATTCCACATCGATGGAGGAGCTGGTGTATGACGTCACTTTAAAATTTGAGACGTATCCGAGAGGCGCTGGAGAGCAGAACTTATGACATTAACCCAACCAACAAGCACATTAATATATAAATAATCACTGTCAGAATGTGTTTATTAAGGAAACATGACAAGGTGTCGGGTCACTCACAGGTCCTGAATGTAGCGGTGATGCCCGGACCAACCGCAGAACCAAAGAGAACATAAAGCGAAAGCACATACTCTGTGTCATGGACCAGATTCTTCAAAACATACTCCGTAGTGCTGCCATTCAGAGCCAACTGCCTGGGCCGATCTCTCCCTATGAACTCTTCACATAAGTAAAAACACAAATAAATATATATAAATAGCTCAAACAGATATATATCATCCAAAATATGTATTTAATTTTTCAGCCCATCACAGTGACAGAAAGGAGTCACTTTCAAAGACTCTTCTTTTGAAGGTGCCATCAATTCATTTCTCTTACACAGAGTCCCAAACTTACACACACACAAATTCTCTTAAACACACGAATAAAGTTGACGGCATGAGTCATGAGGCGGCACAGCGACACCTCATGTTGTCACCAACCTGTCGCTTCCATAAAAGAGAGAATATAAAGCAGAGAGAGAGAGGAAATGAAAAGAGAAACGGACTACAAAGTGAAACGAATGGCCAAGTGCAGGACAAGGAGACAGAAAAAAGGTACTTATATAGGTACCTGCAGTAGGACCCCAGGCCAATCTATAGCCTGTGGCTCCAGGTACAGCGTTCCACAAGGTAACAGCGCTGCTAGTGCTCACCGCATACGCTCTCAGGGTCTGTACTGCACTGCTTTCCACTGAGAAAGAGAGAGAGAGCATCAGCATCTTCACATGTGGCATGATTTATTAGCAGTATTGTAGCTTTTTACACTCAGTCTGCACTATTTTTTAATGCCTTGCTGTTTTTAAGACACTGTATCGAGTTTAATAACACATATTGAAATCCCGGTTCCATTGTGTTGGCTCCAACTAGCTGTTTTTGAAAGCAAGCATGCTTCCTGTGTGATGGGCCCATTACAGTGTAGCACTCACATGTCTTGGCTTTGGCAGAGGTAACAGGCCCTTCAATGTCCACAAAGATGGGGTTGATAGTGATGGTGTACTCTGTACCAGCATGCAGGCCCTGCACCATGTAGAAATTAAAGTTGTCTCCCAGGTTCACATTTTCTCTGTGTCCCTCTGCGGAAATATGGAAGCAGAGCTATGCATGTGCATTTCTGTTTTTAAATAGGCTGCATTTAGTACTGGAGCAGCTCAGTGCACGTTACCTGATGATGACCAGGTGAGTCTGTACCCTGTGGCGCCTCTGACAGATGACCAGCGGGCCTGAACTGTGTCTGTAGTAGCGTTCTGCACCAGCAGTTGATCAACTGGAACCAGTTTCACTGGAACACAAAGAGAAGGATAAGTGCAGAGTTTATAATACATTTACATTTAGTCATTTAGCAGACGCTTTTATCCAAAGCGACTTACAAATGAGAACAATGGAAGCAATCAAAATCAACAAAAGAGCAATGATATACAAGTGCTATAACAAGTCTCAGTTAGCTTAACGCAGTACACGTAGCAAGGGTTTTTTAAAGAATATAATAAATAAAAGGAAAACAGATAGAATAGAAAAAGAATAGAGGAAGCTAGTGTTAGAGGTCTTTTTTGCTTTTGTTAATTGTATAATAAATTAATAGAAAACAGATAGAATACCAAAAGATTAGAAAAGCTAGTGTTAGTTTTTTTTTTTTTCAAGAAAACAAGCAGTAAAAGAATAGTGTGCAAGTCTAAAAGGGACAAGTTTTTTTTAAAGAATAGAATTAGAATAGAGAGTGCTAGAGTTAGAGGGTCAAATAAAGATGGAAGAGATGTGTATAATAGGATGATAATGCATGATAAAAAATTATAATAGTTTTCCAAAACAAACTAGAAACAGAAAATAGAAAATTAAATAAATAAAACACAAGAGAACGTTTTTATTTTTACTTAAAGGTTTCTTCGTGATGGTATGTGTTATACTGCCATCTAGTGGTTACACCAGTAATACACACAATAATTCCAAGCCAAACTATTTCATATAAAATTTCACTTCAATTATTATTATTATTATTAACAATAATGCTTTTTATAAATGGTAATATTATTACAATAATAAAAAAAAAACTATTTAAAATAATAATAATTATTATTATTCCCTAACCATAAATACCATCTAAATATATATAATGATGAAATTATAATGAAATGAAAAATGAAAGAAACTTACAAGTTTTCCCGGTGACAGATACAGTCTCACTGGGGCCCTCTGGGTAGATGGCGTAGATGTCGACCGTGTACTCTTTGTCCTCTTCTAAAGTGTCAATCACGTGAAAGGAGGCGTCACCCGACAGAATTTGATCGTAAATGAGGCCGGGTCTGTCCGCTGAGAACAAATGAAGGGATTTTTGAAAACAACATCTTTAAAATATCTCATATTCCGTCTCAGAGTGTGTGCTGATTTCTCACTTCTTGGAACAAAAATTTTATGTTTATCCACTTTTCCAAGCGGAGACATCCATCCCAGACGTAAAGAGAACAGTCCTTCTTCAATCACACGGAAGTTCGAAACCGGTGGCAAAACAGCTGAAAAGAAAGCATACACATGAATTGCATTTAGACGATGGGAAAGTCTGTGTACTGTGTATAAATAAGCTCACAATGAAAGATCATTCCTTCAAAATATACATAAATGCCATTTTGATGTAAATTTATCACGTTTAGAGATATTTTTAGTGAACATAGTTACTGGTTTCTGTGATAATAGTGGCAGATTCTCCAATGCGTCCGGGGTAGATGGCATATAAACTGAGAGAGTACTCGGTCTTAGGACTTAACCCGGTTACTGGAGTACTACTAATATCTCCCTTCAGATCAATCTGAGAAACAGAAAGAAAATAATATATTCTGAACAAACCACACACGCTCACTTGCAAACACATAGTAAACATTTTAGCTTATTGCCACATAAAGAAAGCTGGTCAATGTGCAACCTTCCATCTGCTGTGCTGCATGGGGTGTACATATGCACAGGTGACCGTGTCTCACCTGTCTCTGCTGTGCTGGGAGCAGATGGCCCTTTGGAGACACAGGGGTGATGAGCAGCCTGTAGCCGGTAACGTCTCCTGTGGCCTGACTCCAGATCAGCTGCAGAGAGCTGTAACTCAGCTCGCTCACTTGTAGATCTTTAGGTCCTACTATCCTCTCCAGCACTACAGCAGACAGAACAGCACACAGGATAAGAAGAAAAGACAGAATCAGCTATTCACTGAGCCCTGTTGCTGCCTGATATATTATCAGACAATACACTTTTCTCATTTTCTTTTGCACTTTTCTAATGTAAGTCAATGAAGTATCTGTGTGTTTGTAGAAATTATGGAAATTATAAAAAAAATATATATATATGGAAAAATGGCGGGTCACTTAATAATAGTGACAAAAGACACGATCCACATTGGGTGTTTTTTAAAATTCTTTTCAAGATCTTTATTTTGAAAACAGCTAGTTTTGCCATGACAACTCCCTGAGAGTTTAGCATGGTAATATTGGCAATGTTAATGTGTTTGGTCTTGGCGGAATAGGTCTGCTATGCTGCTGCGGCAGACCAAGTACCGAGACTTGCTACTGCCAATACATCCACATATATGCTGCTGTGAGCATGTAGGAAATACTGCTGCTGCACATTTAACATATATAAAATAACCTCCATTTATAATATACATGAAATTACCCCGTAGCAGATCTATAAATGTGGAACTGGGGAAGGTGGAGGGTTTCTGAAGCACGATGCAACTGCTACAGCAAGCACTAGCCAAGCATCTGAATGACGAGCAGCAAGCTCATTGGCTCCTGATGATGCAAAAAGAAACCAATCAGCTGCGCCATGTGAATGATGATGCAATTTTATCTGAGTTAGAATCTATCGGCCTGCGCCATCTAGAGTTTCATGACAGAACTTTGTATATATCTTCATAATTAATCTTGTGAGGTTCATGCTGTGGATCAAACTACCTCAGTCCTCAAAATTTATGTTAATTTATGTACACATTTGGGTTATAAATAGGAACAATAATAATTGAACAAAATTGCAGTACAGTAAAGCATTGGTCAAATGTTACATTAATGTTGTCGACTTTAATCACTATTGATTAAAAGAAAGGGGTTTAAAAAGAGAATTAATATGCAGTAATATATTCACTAAACTGCACTCACACTGTTCGATGAGAACAAGATTTGAGCTGGATAATGACACTAACGTTGCAACATCGGCACTGTTATTGAACTGAATTGAACCACTCAACCGACTTGAGCTGAATAATGACACTATTGCCTTCTGTAGAGCATCTTATAGCTGGATTAAACTTGTTTAATAATTGATGAGCTTTACAACATTGGCACAGCTATTGAACTGAATTGAAACAACAGTGAACTAAACTGAGCTGAATAATGACACTATTATCTTCTGTAGAGCTGCTTTACAGCTGAAATTGAATGTTTCATAATTGATCAATTAACAGGTATTTTCCTCTTGATTAATGTGAAGCTGCTTTGAAACAATATGTAAAAGCACTTTATGAATAAATGTGATTTAACTTGTCGTAACTCTTTTCTCCTTTCAGATTCAGACTGTTTTGAGTATTTTCCTCGATTCTGATTCATAGTCTGCAGCATTTAATCATGTTACTGTGTACAAACATTTTTGAATTTTAAATAAATAAATAACAACAGATGTAAATGTCACACTTAATTGTAGCCAAAGAAAGAATAAAAACCACATAATTTGTGTGCATTTTACTGAAAATTATACTGTTTACATTAATTTCCCATTAATTCTTATGGGGCATTCTGTAAAGCTCGTCTCAGGGAGAAAAAGCAACAAAGGATGGCAGAGTTTAGTGAAGGGTCAACTGTGTTCAGATAGGCTCAAAATGCAATAAAAACCTTTGGTTACAAACAACAGCAACAACAAAAAGGTAGAAAAACTGATGGTGGTTTTACCAGGTGGCTTTTGTTTAACAGGTCGGGGAGGTTCTGAAGCAGTGAAGCAGATGCGACGAGAGAGTTTGGGCAGAAGGTTCTCCAGCAAGAAGAAATCTGGGCTGAGCAGTAGATGTTCCTCATGGGGTTCCGTGACGATTTTCTTCATCTCGGACTGATCAGCATTCCTTACCCCTTAAGAACATACAACACACATTATGATATCAGCTAGTTGAAACGGCACCGATTAGCTTTTATAAAGATCTGCTTCATCATTTCTTACACATTATAGATTCAGGGTACACTGAAGGAACCTCAAACCTTTATCATCCATATGAGCACCATGACTATTCACTAACCACAATGCCACAGCTCCAACGTGACTTTATTTTAACATTGTCATAACATGGAGGTCTGTAAGTTAGTCTGTTAATAGTTATAGTCTGTTAGTCTGGAGTTAGTGCTTAACAGGTATATGTGTGTGTGTGTGTGTGTGTATAGAAATGACCCTAATGTGTCTCAAACCCGCTGCAGTGTTATCAGACAGTGTACTCACTTCTGTGAGATACTGTATATATAATGCTGAAATTATAATGAAATGAAAAATGAAAGAAATAGAAGACAGAAGACAGACTTACAAGTTAATAGTCTGTTAGTCTGGAGTTAGTGCTTAACAGGTGTTATGTGTGTGTGTGTATAGAAATGACCCTAATGTGTCTCAGACCCGCTGCAGTGTTATCAGACAGTGTATCGGCTGTAAAGTGATGATGGGAGAACGTCACGGCATGTCGCCCTGCTGTACATCTGTCTCATAGATGTGTCAAATGGCCTGATATATTCACGTCTCTCTGGGAAAACTGATTAGAAAGGCAGGACACAGTGTCAGTGTGTGTGTGTGTGTGTGATAAAGGGGGGCAAGGAGGAATGGGTTAGATGAAAAATTACAGCAATTAGTCGGCCACCGGGTAATGAGCCATAATTATTTCAGCACTCTGGGCGTCAAAACAGAAAGAGCGTGAGAAAGTCAAGGAAACAAGGCTGACACACACAAACATACACGTTTTACGTCTTTCCGCGTTCACCAATATATTACTGCCAATACCAATACACCACTATAGTTACTCTGAGCCACACGTCAAAACAAGAAGTGCACACAGACGTGTCATGCCCGTTCAATCTATAACACAAACACCTCTGACATAAAGAACACTAAGTTTTCAACTCACCCACAGCAAACAGGGAAATCCCACTGTCTGCTACAGCTTTAGCTGGACCGTCCACTGGATCATCCGATTGGCCATTAGTGATCAGAACAGCAATCTGATGCCAGAAATAAACAAAGTGATGCTTTAGTGATCCCATCATGCAAAAGGGTGAATCTCACACTAAAATATGAGCTTAATTGTAATTAAAATTATCACAATGCAAAAAAATCTTAAAGGTCCTAAAAATTAGCTTTCTTTTTGTCTAATATCTTAATACTGGAATCTCACAAAGCCTGTCGAGAAAGGTCCAACTTGTATTTAACCTCAAAGGAAAAAGGTTGTGCTTAATTTTACAGTACTTACAGTGTACTCACACACCAACTACTGAGTTATACTATAAGGTAATTACATGGACTTAATATGGGTTAAGGTTAGGTTTAGGATTATTACTTAAGTATGTAGCACATACAGTAAATGTAGAACAGAACTCTAAAATAAAGTGTTAACAGGTAAAAAAAAAAAGAAATTATATTCTGAATACAGAAAATGAGGCCTATATTTATAGTAGGAACATTTTTGCACAATTAAGCAATTTTTACACCCCAATTTTCATTACTAAAATGCATCACATAATTTTACTACTCTCGATTATTTTCAACAATGATTCTCTTTAATGTAATATTTTACCGTAATAAATTACAGTAATCTGAGAGGTGAAATATGCTTATTTGTCATGAAAAATAATGACAAAAATATAATGCAAAAAAGTGTTTAAAAAATCCAACAACATTATATTCTTTATGCAGAATGTAATTTTTTTTCTTTTGATTTTTGGTGTGAAATATGACTGGGACTTTTTCTTGTTAGCTTTCATGAAATCCACCCAAAAGTGTAAATTTTTATTTAAGGACTCAATCTACCATTAAGAACATCACGCTGATACTGATGTCCTTGAAAGCATACGGCATGAATTATCATCTCATTGCATACATAATTCCCCAACCGCAGCAGATCCAAACCTGCAAAGTCGCTTACACTCACAAATGAGTATTCTGAAAAGGAAACATCTCCTGGGTCAGCTAAAGTTCACCAGCATTGGTTGTGCTGCATCTGGGTTCATCTTTATGCACTGTACACTAGCATGCCATTACAGTGTATGTATGTGATGAGAGTTTTAATAAAAGGTGAAATCTCTGCAGTTCATTATAAACGCCCGCTCATTTCTCCACACCAAGGCAAGGCAAGGCAAGTTTATTTGTATAGCACATTTCATACACAATGGTAATTCAAAGTGCTTTACATAAAAGAAAAGAAAAAAAATAATCACAAAAATAAAACAAGGAATTTAAAAACTTTGAAAATGATTAAAAAAAAATTGATTTAAGAGGTTTAAAATGAATTTAAGAAAACGATTATACATAGAATATAGTGCAATCAGTTCCGACATCGCACAGTGCTCATTCTATGAATGCACAG